GTGTCTCCATCAGTCCGTCTGTATCCCAAGTCATCTCCATTGAACCGGAAGGACACTGTCGATGACGATGATGCATTTCGGAGGACCAACTGACCAACCTTGATGCGATCCCTCTTGGACCAAAAGTAATTTCTTTGTTGCTATGGTAACATTATAATGTATTCAAAGATGACTCGCGACTTCTTACAGCGACCATGGATGCAGTTCTTCAAACCAAAGAATAAATTGTCAAGAGTTACCGGAATGTATGAGATTGTTGATCAAGATGGTTTAAATCATTAAGAATTGGTTCCAAGACACTGTATCCAAAATGTATCTTTAAAATGGCGGCTAACGTTAACGTCAGCTGACAAGTACTCGTCTGATGAAAGATTCGGAGACATAGATAGACATCGAAACTGTCCCAGGAAAAATGTTTAGATGTGTCACAGAACTGATTCGCAATGTAAGAGTGATGTTTTGTGGTAAGTTTTGTCGTTTATTAAGAAAATTCTAGACAAATACATGTATCTATGCAACCTTAATACGCGGCGAGGTGAGCACATGAATTAAAGCAACTCAATTTATGAGGTGACGCTAGGACAACTACCACCAGAAATTCTCATGGACAACTAAAAGCAGGACAATAATCTGCGGACAACTACCCCCTAACATTCATTTATACCTGTAGATATTGTTTGGATATTTTTACAGTGTAATTGTCCTGGATTTATTGTCCTTGTGGGTAGTTATCCGGGGGTATATGTCACTATACGGGTTAGTTGTCCGGGGTGATATATAATCCGGGGTAGTTGTCCTGATACTGAATGTATCAGATGTGAACTCAGGGGGGCGTTTCACAAAACTTGTCATCAGTGACAAATGACAAATAAGCTACTGAAATCTTTGCTTCTGATTTGTTATCAGCAGATTTGTCACTGATTTGTATTATTTGTCATTAAAATAAAGCTTTGTGATACGCCCCACTGGTCTTTCCATTTGGATCGAGTGCAAGTTTAACATAGTGACTATGAAATCATTTGCTTCCAATGATCGTCTCAGGAGAAGAAACTATCTGTGAAACTGAAAATATTACAATTTACTTAGAGTATAATGAATTGTACGCCAAGGTCCAAATTCGAATCGTGACTTACTAAATAGGCATGCTAGATAAAGTTGCAAATCTGTGCGTTCAAGCTACTACTGCTGTAATGATAATTATGTTGATATAATCAATAATGATAATATTAATGATGATATTGATAATAATGATATTGATAATAATTAGAATTCGTTCATTTGTATGCCACTGAATATTGTCATTAATATTCATATTATTTCCACCCTTTACAAGCGGCATAAGACAAAGCAAGAATCAACTATGTTTAGAACCTGACTACATAATCATTTCTCAGTGATTTTAGAAATAATCAGGCAAAGTCTAGATAATGGATAGTAAAAATACGTATAAATGACTTTAATGATTATATTAGCATTCTTGTTCTAAATTTTGTATTGATTCTTACGTAGCGTTGTGTCATTTGTAAAAAGGGAAAAACTGCGATATTTAATGAATATCATCCAATTTAAATATACACCTTTTGCAGGGAATACGCCCCTGGAAGTAGAAGCCATTGATTGCACCTGTTGTTTTAGCCGTTTTCAACCGCTCTTGTCTTTAATATTCAATCTCACATACACAAACATCCATACTTGCGCCCTCTAAACGTAGAGCGAAATTACGAAAAAATGGCGCCCCCTACAGTTTAAAGAGTTCCATTTGAATTATTGTATTGCATTGAGTGGTTTCACTTTCATATGATTATTATCAGTGGCGGATCCAGAGTTACAGGGGCACGTACTCCCCCCCCCCCCCTCCCCCCTACGTATACATTTTGTAGTACACACACGAAGAAAATTCCACTAATGTGCCACCTCCTTCAATTTAAAATTCTGAAAAACTTGTCAAAAAATTGACATGAGCTTGCATTTTCTTTTTTTGTTATACATTTTGTTTTACTCATTAATTTAGAATGCAGGAGAATATAGGCTGGTGTAAAGTGTACACTACACTTACAAATCTTGAAGCAACACCCTTAGCATTAAAGGTGTTTTACAAAGGGACGGTGTTTAGAGCCATAAGGGCATTATCTACCCTTCTGTGGAAAAGAATATGAGTTAACGTCCTTCTGGCTCTCAGCAGACGGGACTGTGTTCTATTTCATTATGTTGCGTATTTAGTATTTGGTTTCTGGTTGTTTAAGTTGGTTTTGATTTCTACTGTGGGCCAACATTTATATGTATATTTTTCATTACCTATAATTATGCTTTAGAGATTCATACGCTCAATTTGTTTTATGGGTGTTTTATAAGGACGATAGGCACTAATATGCATCGTAATCAATGTCATTGACTTCTATGGTGTTCTAAAACTCGCTTGTTATCTCTCCTTCCCCTCCCCCATCCATTTCTCTCTTCCTTCCTCTCTTTCCTCCTTTTCTCTTCCTCCATCCCTCTCTCTCTCTCTCTCTCCCTCTTTCTCTCTCTCTCTCTCCCTCTCTCTTCCTCCCTCTCTCTGGCCTATTTTTAAGTCTTGTTTTGTATCCGTTTGTTTCAGCCTCTTTGTTGTAGTGCAATAAGAAATTACATTTTGACCTACATACTTTGTGAATATTGCAATATGTGTACTAAGTCAAAACTAGTCGGGAAAATGATATTCTAACAAAAAAAAAATATACGTTTATTATACATTTCAAACTGTACTGTAGATTCGTATTATAAATTTTTAATTCGTCTTACAAAGAAGTTTTTAGAAAAGCATAATGTAAGTGCAATTACATTTGTGAAACAATGCCTTTCATTATGAATCTTTCAGAAAGCTATGAATTATGACATGTGTAGATTAATTTATAATTATATAATTATATTAGGTGTGTTATCCTATTTTCGTTAAAATATTGTTTACTGATATATGAATATTGTCATGTTTTTCGATTTGTGAAAAACATGATAGAGCTGGTGGGTATGTACTGAACTTTTTATTGATATTCATCTACTTTTTCGTCTTTATGGACAAAAATAAATAAAATGAGGCTTGGACTACTGTTTTGGTGACTGGCATTGAAAATATTTCGCCAAAGAAATAATACAATGTATGGGCATTATGGGGTTCGTTTTCAAAATACTTGTGGTTATCATAATCTTGGAATTATTGACATGAACATAAAAAAGTCATAGACGGAATGATAAAAAAAATATAAATAATCGCAGCTTTTTATAAGACGAAGAGAAGTTTAAATGTTCACAAATGCCCATTAATTAACGAAATCTTGATACTACAACATTTCGTATTTTACACGGAAATTACATTAAAACCTTTTACGAATTGAAATATTTAAATAAATATCTAATATGTGGTTACACTTTACAAGTTTGTTTACGGGAATCATGTAAAATTAAAATTGCCGTACTTATTCATGTTTGGTTTGTTTAACATACCAGCCGTTCATTGTTGTTTGTTTTTAAATAAACTTGACCAATGCTGCAAAAATACTCGACCATATTTTGATCATTTGACTAGAATGTCAATTTTAGAAACACTTTCAAGGATTAATATGAATTTATTATTACTGTGAAGCCAATTCTAATATTTCAAATCAATCCATAACAATATTTTTATGCAATAACATGAAATGTATATCAATAGCACTTCATTTTTAGTCACTTGTATATACTTGGAGAAGATTATTAATTTCCAAGTACAAGGTAGTTATTTTCGATACTATCGTAATACTTCCGTGTTGAAAGTAGACTTTCGTTTTGTCTAAGTGTAAAATTGGCTTTATGAAATAAGCATGATAAGATACACGTATCTAACGAATTGTGAATTAATATAGTTTTTTCTGTAAATTTATTATAACCGACTGTACCCAGTATGATTCGAATGAATGTTAATAAATTTTTCCATACCCATTTCAAACGACTCTCGTCAAAGTGTTTTTCTTTTCTGTGTATTACTAGACACATGTATAAATTATCGCTGTGGTGAAATGGTATAGAGTCTATATCAAACGTGTACATCTCAACAAATTATTCCAAAGCAAAATAGTCACAATTTATTGATGTATTTTTAAGATACCAAAACCTATTTCGCCATCTCCAAATTGGTAAACAACTGATACATAAATAAGTTGGCATGTTACAATTCTTATAAGAAATAGATTTATGCATGGATCTATATAAAGAAGTAGGGAATTGTGTACAGGATTTAGACATACATTAATTTGTTGAAAATGGAAGACTAATACTAATAACGTCGATTTGTTACAGCTTGATAAGACAACTTGATAACTTGTTACAACTTGATAAGATACACGTATCTAACGAATTGCGAATTAACATTTTAACAAAAACTACATACTAATCATAAATAAAAGTTTAAACAACAAATTCGTTCAAAATACTTAAGTTGACCGCAAAGGCTTTCGGAAAATGAACCTTACAAAGCATTTTGTATAGCCCATTACCTAATAAAATCATGTATGACATAAACTGTAAATGATTTCCATGAGATATCCAATAGGATGTTGAAAATGCCCTTGAGCTTATTTTATATTCATATTTTCGAAAGCAAATTCGAGCGTTCAAAATTAACAATATACTAATTGGACAATAATTATCCGAATAAGGTAAATTGACAATGACACATACTTTTTTATTATATTTTTTTCAATGGAGAAAAACACATTTAATTCTAATTTTACACAGAGATGTATCGTGATTTTTTTTCTTTCTTCTGGACCTGTAGGCCTAGGCATCTTAATTCCCAGATTTCAAGATTGTAACGGCATGAGAATCGCACAAACGGTCTTTAAAAAAGATTAAAGGAATGACGCTGGACTGCGATTATTAGTATTATTGTCAAGTAAACGCTTTTTCTACCACCCCCCCCCCCCCCCCCCCCCCTCCCGAAAATAGAAAGGATAAAGAAGAATTGGGCCATTATAGAGATTATTGAACATTGATAGATAGGCAAAAATATTTTCAAAGCATAGCACTTGATGATAGTTCAATCCTTGTTCTTGTTGTCATTCGGTCGCTTGTTCGGCTCCCTCTGGTCTCGAAATCAACAAAAATGTGTTGGATGCCGCCAACTCGAACCGATCCGCAGAGTTCTTTGAGAGCCTGTCTGAAGTTCGGGTTCCTGGCGGCGTAGATGATAGGATTCGCGCAGGAGTTGACGAAGGCAAGGACAACGTAGAGACGGTACTGTGGGCTGTAGAGATAAGTGTGGTCGATGAGTCCGATGTTGAGTGCGAAGTAGAAGAGCTGATCAGGAGTCCAGCAAATGACGAAGACGACGACGACCATGAGAAGCATCCAGACGATATGGCGGTTTGCTTCTTTGCTTTTGCTCTTGGTGCGCGGATGTCGTCGAAGGGTGAAGATCATGAACACGTGTGCGACGACCATGATGATGACGGGGAAGAGATACTCGATCAGGAACACCATCACGCCGGTAAATTTGTGGAACCATACCGCCGGGTAACCGAATTTACAAGAGCCGCCTTCGTAGTACACCACGAACATTACTACGATGTTTACAAGTAGTGACACGATCCAGATGCTGGTTATCATCATGATCGTTCTTTTACGGGAAAAGATGTTCCGGAAATGAAACGGACGAACGACAGCGGTCAGTCTTTCAATAGAGATGGTGGTCAGGGTGAAGATGGAAGCACAGATGGATATCCACATCACGACAGAAGAATGTATGATCCGACAATAAAGCTGCGCTGCTACGGTGTCTGGAAGCGTCTTCACTTCGGCGTGAGGGATAATGAACAGCGACGTCAAGAAGTCGGCCAGAGCCAACCCAGCGATCAGGGTATCGGTGGAGCAGAACTTTCTCTTGACACGGAAGAGTACCAACATCACCAGGAAGTTTCCGATGATGCCAGCGATGGCTAGGATCAACTGAATGACCTCCCACCATTGCCATTCAACAGAAGTCCAAGTCCATGTAGAATTGCTTGCATTGTTTCCCTGAACAACACTCATCATCAAATCGAAAATGTAGATTAATATGCTAATTTATACCTTTCTAAAAAATTGTGTTTCTACCATTCCACAGTTGGACTGTAAAGTTACATGTCTATGGTATACGAAACAGCACATTTAATCCTTGTGAAGTAAGGCGAGCTTCACCTGAAACGATATAAGGATGTGATCATTTTGTCCACTTAAAGCAGTTTGCTCATGGTATAAGGCGTTAAAGGCGGCCTCAACTTAAGCCCGTTTACACGAGGCTACTTTCCACATTCTAAAACGAGTATAGGGTAAAAATGTACCAACGTTGGGTTAAAACATGGGGAATATTTGCGATGAGATTTCAATGCAAGATGTTTAATTAAAGATTATGTTTGAGTGAAAACAGACCATTATTAATGACCACAAATTTGGGAAAACTGATTTGATCGATTCCTTAATTCTCCCAACTATATCATTACGATTTAATTGAATTTTAGGTGAATGTAAATCGTCATAAAGCAATGAATTGGCTTTATATGTATACCATTCCAAACATTTAAGTGTTGACAGATTTTAAAACCCCGTTTAATGTCTTATTTTCATGGACTCCGGTTGGGAAAATGGTTGGGGGAAATTGCTGTTAGACGTGCCAATATTTCATGAAATGCCGCCAAGTGATAACAATTTACTATTAATTGCTGGCTAAAATTTTACCCAACAAACTTTCGTTTTCCCTATTTCCTAAAATACGACTAAAATAGTGTTGTATCCTTATTTTAGAATGCTAACATTGCGATGGTAAATTTCAGTTTGCGACGTTTTGACAGTATAGACTAGTGTGAAAGGGCCTATTTCTGAGCTTTAAATGATGATCTTATTGTTTCATATATTCCATTAATCAAGCAAAAGGTGCAATCATAATAAAAACTAAAAACAATTGAAATGATATCGCCAGAACTATGAATAGTGGAGACTCAAACAGAACTTTCGACACTGATATAGCGTACTTCATTAGTAATAACACTTGAGTTTGTTTCTGTTGTTGATTCAAAGCGCACTTGTAGGCATGCATCTTGTTGTGCGCATAGATATAGATGCAGGGGGCACGAGGGGGCATGTGCTCCTCCCTCATCGCCCCATCGAGTTGCAGGGGGGGGAGAGATAGTCAGATAGGGGAGAAAAGGAATTAAAAGAAAATGGAGGGGAAGGGGAATGTGACTAAAGAGTAGACAAGGTGCGACCCATCCCACACCACAACTTACCGATTGCCTTGTCCGTTAGCATAATCTCACGCAGAGTCCCTCACCCCTTTAAAAGGCTGCCCCAACGCGGGCCCGAGCATGCACTAAGTACTAACAACCCCTTTTACCGGTAATAGAAAGTGTCTTGAAAACAAATGAATGACTATGGTCATGCTTGTTTTTGTAATTTTATTTTCTTCCTTTCTGTTTGTTTTGTTCTGTTTTATTGTTGCTGATGAAGGTTTTTTTTTTTTTTTTGGGGGGGGGGGTGTATTTTTTTTATTTTTAATAATAAAAATAATATTGGATTCTTATATAGCGCACGTATCGACCTTGCAAGGTCCTCAAGGCGCTCCAACATTACCCGGCTATGCTAGGCTGCCGATTTCGACGCTCACAGCATTTCAAGGAATTCCTTCCTACCGGTACCCATTTAACACCTGGGTGGAGAGTGGCAAGTGTAGATCAATGTCTTGCCAAAGGACATTAGTGCCGCGGCGGGACTCGAACCGCGGACCCTGTGATTCACAGTCCGACGACTTATCCACTACGCCACAACACCTCTAAAGACCTTTAAGGACCTTTAAAGACCATTTCAAAACTGATTTGTCACCAAGTGTTTATATCGGTGTATAGATCTGATTGATTGATTGATTTTTATTCGACAAGCTTCCAACATACAACAATATACAATAATAACAGATCAAAAATAAGTCAGCTTGAACAGGATAACCCACGAAAGCTCGAGAGCTTATTTCCAGTGGGGTCCCTTACAGACATGTGTAAAATTAATAAGTTAAAATAGTAATATTTACAGACAGATAAGAAAATTAAAAGAACTACTTATTAAAGATAATAATAATAATAACAACATTAAAATGGTGATAGAAATGATATTAAGTACAAGAAGAAAAAGATGAAAGAGAAGAAGAAAAAGAGGAGAAGGAAGAAGAGGAAAATAATGATGAATTTGTAGAGTTTCTATAACGTACGAAAACATAAGTATATACAACATGAAAAAGTATGAACCGACAGAAGAATAAAAATGTCAATCATATAACATGTCATTCACTTCTCTTCTCTGACTGTCAAGTATTAGGTATTCCTTTAATTTCCTCTTAAAATGATCATAGTTTCCTATTTCTTTTACACCATTGGGAATGGAAATTCCAATGTTTTATGGCATTGTAATAAAACGAATTTCCAATACTATCTACTCTTTCTGGTAAGTTAAAGTTGAATCGTCTATTTCTTGTATTATAATCATGTACGTCAGTAACAAGATCGAAGTTGGATCGAATATAATGATTCGACCTAGTATGATATATTTTATGCACGTGATGCAATACGAGTTGTTTTGATCTTTGGTCGACTTCAAGAAAACCAGCTTTAGAAAGTTCGCTGTAGCCAACATGAGTTCTTGGACCAGAACAGTTGATAAATCTCACCATTTTGTTCTGTATAATCTTCAACTTCTTTTGATCTGACTTGTTTATGTTACTATACCATGCAGGGTTAGCATAGTCAAATAAACATTGAATAAGAGCAAAACAGAGTGTACGTCTTGCTTTTAAATCCATACAACTTTGATATCTGTACACAAATTTCAGACGAGAATTTGCTTTTTTTACAACTGATTCTACTAAAGATGAAAATGAAATTTCGCTAGCCAACCCAATGCCTAAATACTTCACAGACTCTTTTCTCTTGATTGCTTGATTATTGTGTGTCACTTTGAATTCAAATGACTTTTTAGAACTACTTTTAGAACAAAATAAAATGCTTTCTGTTTTTCCCAAGTGTAAAGAAAGCTTATTATCAGTCATCCAATCGACACACGTAGACAGCTGTTCACTGAGCTTTTCCTCAATATATTTAGGATCAGGATTTGAATAGAGTAGTACGCTGTCATCTGCGTACAATAATAGTTTAAAGTCTTTTAATACACATATCATTTATATAACTTGAAAATAGAAGTGGGTCTAAAATGCTTCCCTGATGAACACCGCATGTTATAGGCATTAGTTTGGAACGAATATCATGAATGGCCACTACTTGGTGCCGATTATAGGATCTGAACCAATCTAAACTTGCCTTATCAAAACCCATTAGTTGTAACTTCTTCAATAAGACGCAATGATTAACTGTATCAAAAGCTTTTTGCAGATCAAGGAGCACCATACCAACAAAGCGCCCTTGGGAAGTTTCTCTCCTCAAATAATCAGTCAAATGAATTAGACATGTTTTAGTCGAATAATCATGTCGAAAACCAGATTGAAATTCATAAATTATATCATTTTCTTTGAAGTATCTTTCAATTTGAACACAGACCGATTTTTCTAGAATCTTTGATGCTACGCTTAAAACACTAATAGTTCTATATAGTTGCTAACATCAGTTTTATCTTTCTTTTTATAAAGTGGAGTCACTTTTGCTATTTTCATATCCTCTGGAAAAGTACTCGTCAAGATAGATAGGTTCATTAAGTAACTTAGAGGCTTAAATAAAACCTTCGCACCATCTTTTAGAAATTTAGCTGGAATCAAGTCTAACCCAGTACTTTTTGATACATTCAACTTACGTAACTCTTTGAAAACAAATTGTTCACTGATTGGTAATAACTCGAAGCTGTTTTCACGTACACCTTTTCTTTCGTAAAAGTCACGAATACAATCATTGTCTGCGCTGAAAAAGTCTTTGGAAGGGGGGAGTTTGTCTACTAATTTGGCAGTCACATTTGTGAAATGAGAATTGAATTCATCAGCGATGGCCATCTTATCATGACATAATTCCCCATCAATTTTAATGACAGATTCTTGTTCTTTTCGCTTCTTATTTTTCAATCCTAAGCTTTTTAGATTCTGCCAAAGTTTTTTCGAATCTTGTTTATTTTCTTCTATCTTGTTTTGTAAGTAATCGAGTTTAGCCTTTTTCACCTCTCTTTGGACCATATTTCTTAATACTCTGTATCTTTTATAGAGCTTCTCATCTTTTGCTCTTTTCCTCCATTTTTTGTATACTATATTTCTCTCTTGAATTAGGGAAAGATTCTTTAGTCACCCAAGTTTTTGATCTTTGTTTTATTCTTATCCGTTTCAGTTGCGCTATCATATTCAAATTTGAGATAAAAACATGTTGAAATATTGACCATGCCTCATTTACATCTGTACAATCAGTTATTCGTGACCAATCAACAACAGATAGTTGAAGATTGAAAGACTCTTCTGTATATTTTTTCATGGATCTGATATCATTAGTCCTGTGATGACCTATAGCCAGTCTAACATTTTTCCGTGTACAGAAAGTAAAATAATGGTCGCTAATACCTAGATCAATGACACCACTTTGACTTATTTTATTTTCTTTGGTACAACCAACATGATCCAATAGAGAAGAACATGTAGGTGTAACGCGTGTTGCCTCTTTGATGAGTTGACTAAACCCATGAAGACTCAACAAGTCAACAGTATTTTTTAGCCAGTGGCGATTTGCGAAGAAGACAAATATTCATGTCTCCTAAAAGAATTATTTCGTCATCCTTCTTTAATGTATCAAGAATATTGGACAATTTCTCGATAAACAAATTGTTTTTCGGAGGTCGATACAGAACGCCAACAACAATTGGTTTTGATCTTGGTATAAGCAAATTTATCCACAGGGATTCCGTATCTCCAGTACTTATAGCATCCATAATATTAAATGTAATATAATTTCTGATATAGAAACATACACCACCTCCAGAGCCAGAGGATCGATTATGGCGGATGATTTTATATCCGTCTATTTCAATTTCTTCATCATTTATGGAATTGTTTAACCATGTTTCAGTGAAAGCAATAATAGACAGCCTTTTTCTTTTAAAAAGAATTCTAAGTTCCGATATCTTGTTTAGAATAAATCACATTAAGGTGTAAAAAATGAAGACCTTTAATTTTAAACTTTTCTTCAAATTCTTGATAAAGAGAAGTGTTTTCATCTCTGAGGTTTGGCTGAATTACTTTTGCTATCGCTTGCTTTTCAGGTGTAACGCGCGTTACCTTAAAGTAGTTTTCTTTTAGTCTATCCTCGTTTTGGCTTTCTTTCTCTAAACAATCGTCAGTAAATATTGAGTCACAAAAAGATGGCAGGCAACATGTTAAACAATTCCACCTGCGGTACTCTGAAAAACTGATAGCTTGACAATTAGTGTGAAACCATTTTTTACAATAAGAACACAGAAGGCCGTGTTGATTACATTTGACTGGCTTATCACAGTTACCACAAGGGAACTTATATTTTCGACCGTCAACTACAATTTTTGGATCATCACTAGATTTTGCAAAATCTAGTGCAAAATGGATCGAATCCACTACAATGATTTGTTTTGTAATAAGCAAAATTGAATGTTGTATACCGGACGTTGTCAGAGGTTTACAGGTAATATTGTATATATCTCTGATGTCGGAAATTGTTGTAAAAGATGAATGCTTACGATGGTTAATGTTAGGCCCAAAGACGTTTAAATATAATTAGGCCTATAAAAAGATGTTGAATTGCCCTTTAGGTGCCAAAACATGGGCCGGTCGGTCGGAAATCTTTTCTTCTTTTTTTGTATTCCCTCTTTGGACTGCTATTTCTCAGTTCTGAATGCTTTAATACATTTTTTCCTTAAAAAGGGTATTTTTGTTTTATTTTTAAAGCTGACCGTATATTTCAAGATTTTGGGGTCGGTCGCAAAGGGCAATACAACATCGTTTTAGGCCTTATTTGATGCATACAGTTTTATAAATCCAAAGGCAAAAGTGATAATTTATTTTTGCCCACACACAACCCGTCCCATGATACTTTTTATTCAAATTAGTCTAGAGCCCTCATGCGGTTAAGTTGCGACAATCTTTTGGAAATTACTGTAAGCTGTCGATTCGATGGCGTACGTTCGAACAGCTCGTCGAATACTTTCATGCGCACTTCAAAAAGTAAGCCAGTCTTTGAGCTCTGTCCATCCAGGAGCGATCGTATTGACCACTTGGACCATACCAGTCCAACATTACTATTCTAACCTTCAGTTCCGTTAGAAGCACATCTTGAAACCTGTGGTTGTGTGCAATTTGCTGGATAATATTCTAACTTGCGTTTCAAGCTTCCACGGAATACCGGCTTCTTTCGGTGGAAATTGTTTACGGTATGTATGGTTACGGTAAACGTTTCCTTGGTCGCCTATTGACAGGGGCCGATATTTGTTCTTCGTTCTGAACCCGGTGACCGGTGTTGTGTGTTGTAATACGTTTGTTGAATGCGAGAAGAATGCGAGATCTACTGAGCATGAGCTGTGCTGTATTTATGGCCTCCAAACTCCTGTTCCGAGTGGCCATTTGTTTATTTAACGCAATAACGGACAGGAATGAATCGTAGAATGTTTACCAAAGTGTTAAAGATGTGTAAGTAATGAGATGAGTACAATGAGAAATGCATGTAACGGGATGACCAAACACTGACATGACACAGAAAAGAACAGAATATTTTATTAACTGTTGTCAGCTGAGAATATCCAACTCAGATGAGATGCCCTTTTTAAGATGGTATTTTTGGTAGATCTAGATCTAACTTATAATAGATCTAGGCCTAGATCTACCTGAACTTTTTAATGGTATAATGGACTAGATTATCTAGCTGATCTTGATCTAGTGACCGTGTCTTCTTACTTGCTCGAGATTACTACAATTTCTTTATTCTTGCATTTCCTCTGCTTCACATTTTAATAACGAGTGGAATCTAATTGTAGTGTTAGTGTAACTCTAGATTTCTATGGTTCTTATATTAGATGCACTCTGATATAAATTTTAACCAGTTCAAACAATTTTTATCATTAATATTTCAGAAATAATTTTAGTTGAGAATGAATATTTACCCAAATTGCTAATTGACAAACCTGTACAATCAAAATTCAAACCTGTTGCTCTTAGCATGATTAAAGTTAAACCTCTTAAGCTCTTGTGAACCATCCTTACTCTTGTCAAGTTTATTGTAACCTAATTTAATGTACACTGTTTCAGTACATTATTTATCTAATGGACATGTAGATGTAGAACTACATGTAGAAGGGGAAATCAATATCTCTCTTGGGGGTCTTTTTACTGAATTGGGAACTTGAAATGAGCATATATCTGAAATCATCAATTGTCAAAAGCTTCACACTTCATCCAAAATTTGTGTTTTGTGATGTAAGTTGTTGCATTTAAAAAATAAAATCTGTATTAAGCAACCTGTCGGTATTATCTACACTTTACAAGTGTGCTTAGTTTGATAGTGATTCACCTCCCCTCTGAGAAGCTATTCTGACCCAGATATGAATGTGACCTTTGGCGACCCTTGCATATTTACACCCCCCCCCCCCTCACCTCCTTGTTCAGACTATGAAAATTCATTGTTTAAGCCAGCTGGCATGTTAACTGATCTCTTCAAAACTACTTGTAGTTTCTTATACATGTATGATGTGTTCTCCTTCACAACATATGATGATTCTTAAAACATTTTGTCTTTTCTATTGTTATCCACCTGTAACCTCCTTTTGCTATACAATTATTCTTTTCATGACGTTTTTTCGTACAAATTTTGTATGAATTTCCTCCAGTCTTTCATAGCCTATTGTTATCCACCTGTAAGCTCCTTTTGCTATACAATTAATTATTCTTTTCATAACTCTTCGTATAAATTTTGTATGAATTTCATCTAGTCTAAAAGAGGCCGTTATTCACCACCACACCATGATACGTGTGCGCTTGACATCTAGCCTTGTGATATTTCTGCTGAAAAGGGTGCAGTCATCCCTTTTTCTTTGAAGTTTGAGGCGAGGTCAATGAATCTCTCCGTGGGGGGCTATAACCACTTGGGGAGTGTGTGGATTGTCTGCAGCTTACAATACCATCTTTGTTCAAAAATCCAGGCTTCATTAATTTTTGATGGCATTATATTAATTTGTGAATAATAACAAAATCATCTTCATTCAACTATTATCAGGGAGGGGGGTGACCGGGTGAGTATTTGTTCAGGGTATTTTTTTTCTTCTTTGTGGTCCACTGCAATATCAAAGATCGAAAAGGGGTTAGAAAAATGGATGTCAAGGTTGAAAAAAAAGTGGGGTGACCCATGTCCCTGGGTAAACTATCAGCTAGCTGGTAGTGCAAATGTAGGCCTGATGTGGATGCAATTTGATTGCATAATGCATATAAATTTGTTAAGGTCTCTATGACACCCTACTGTATAGTTATAGAAGATAATTTAACACTTGAATGAAATACTACCGGTACTTGTAACCTTACAGTTGTATACAGCCATGTTTTACATGGTGCTATAAAAATCCAATGATAATTTGCAGAATCATGTCAATTGAAAGTGTCCCTTCCCCTCCCCTTACATTATTTAGTTGAAGTCAAATGTATGGCTTTTTGCAATGGAGCATACACCATTACTGGTACCTGTACATGTAGTTGTGTTCTACTCATGTAGTCAAAGACACAAGACACACATGATCATGTGCAGTGTACTATATTTAATACATGACGACATTAGAGTCGTTCATGACTGCCTCACACGTCTTGGAGGATGATCTGTGGAATGCCAGGCTTGCCCATGCCCCCATACTGTGAGGTCCTGTGTAATAGGAGATGCTTCGATCGTGACCTGGCTGGCTGGCTGTCATCAAAACTGCTCTTTCTTCAAGTTCGACATAGCCCATGGCTGTGTGAGGAGACAGCTAGAGCTCTCAAATGCACGTCTGGGCCAGTGCCTCGATCATGTTGTTTTGTCTATCTTTTCTATAGAGTATCAAAGCTGTGACATCAAAAAAATCTATTTTTAGAATTTCTCAATTTTTTCTTCATTTTCCGAAAGAGCATCAAAAATAATATCCAAATGTTGAAAACCAATTGAATATGTTAAGTAGTGGCTGAGATATGACCATCTGAATATTAGACCCCGTTCTCACTCATTTTGAAAGTGGTCTTAGTTAGACCGCTCCAGAGGAACGGGCCTTGAGGAACAGTTTGCGAGCGTACACACTCCGAGCAGTTTTTAATGGCTCAAACTGCTCCACGAGTCAAAGTGGTCTTGTTGCTATGGCAGCTCAGGTCAGCAGATCAATTTTTTCGCGCGCGGAATACAAACCGTATGTACCGTACTACATGTTTCGCACCGAAGGTCACTAGCTCACTTCCGTTCAAAGTACGCTTTCTGTTCACATTGCACGTTAGAGCGCTCCAAACCGCTCTTAATAAGACCCGCTCCTCAAGACCACCTCGGAAGGTGGTCTTCTGGAGCGGTCCAGAAGTCCACTTCCTGGACCACTTTGACCGTTCTCACTCACCTAAGAACCGCTCCTGAGGAACGGGTCTTAGTTAGAGCGCTCCAGAGCGCTCCAACGAAGTGAGTGAGAATGGGGTCTTAGATTTCTAATATGCTACAGGAACTCAGTGTTATTTGCTCTGGTTCATAACCATTGCGAGCCAGAGCAAATAACACTGAGTTCCTATAGGACTCCTATTTATTCAGATGGTCATATCTCAGCCAATATTCAATTCAATCGGTTTTCGGCATTTGGACATTATTTTTGAGAAATTCTAAAATAGAATTTTTTATGATATCACACTTCACCACTCTATTGGGAAGAAAATAATTTAGATATATATTATGTTCAAGAATATAACAAGGTTTCTCATTACCCTGTCTTCAAAACTGCTCCTTCTTCAAGTTTGACACAAGTAGCCTTGTCTGCAAGCACAGACCCTAATTTGACACTTCAAAAAATCATTGTGCCTTGAGAGAAGCCTAGCCCAGCTACCTACTGGTTGTGTTAATAGCAGCTGCAGTACATGGCCTATGGTAGTCTTATAGTGCAGACTCACTTTTACGACTGACAAGGGGTTTGTGCTTGCAGACTACACGTAGCCCATGGCTGTGTGAGAAGATAGAGCTCTCTCTCTTCCAAGGATGGGGGTGTTTCACAAAGATCCCAAGTTGGACTTAAAAATTATGGAAAGCCATTTTTAGCCTTAAAATGAAATATATATCAAAAGCAGAAATCCAAGTATTTTAGACTTTTCATAAATTCCACATCAAGAACATGAAATCTCCTTGATAATAGAAAAAATGAAAAAATGGAATCAACAATGTATGCCTTTAAAAATAACTTACAAAATATTTTCAAAGATGCTATCCAACTAATAGAGATAAGTTCAATTTAGGATCTTTGTCAAACACTCCCCAGGGCCATGTACCCGGTACTGCCTATTTTATGTCTACACACTGTATCTTTTCATTGTCAGATAGAGAAGATAAAAAAATGTTGTATCTTCAATCGCGAGGGATATTTGAACTCCCTGTCACCAAATGCTATCTTCAACTTCAAAGCAGAGTGACTGTACATTGACATAGGAAATGTTGAATGCCTGGGCTAGATGAGACATGTCTATCTTGTTATCCACCAATGTTGGTTCAAAACGAGATGTATTTATTCAGATACTGTTCGATAAATTCAGCTGCTGTGTGACTCTGTGATAAAATTTCTCTTTTCTCATGTTCATAGCCATCACATTTCTGTGATACAGTATGTCCTTGTACTTAAGGCCCATGGTTTTAAATGAAGCTGTTACCTTGCCTACAGTTTGTGTACGTGTAGATCGAAGCTGGCTTGGCCAGGGCCTCTTGTTTGTTTATCTTTTTAGTGATCAATGTCAGCTGATTAAAACAGTGGTTGCATTCAAGAATAGGGCATACAATGTAGTACAGTAAACATGTGATGCTGTTTTAACTTGTATTAAAGTTAGTGTACCCAATTTCAGAATTTAGCTACTCATGTTCAGCTTTCTGGTGGAGGTAGGTAACTTAAGAGGGACAATTCATGGAAAGAAAAGTACCTTTGTAAAAAGGGAGGTTTGTTCAAAGCATACATGTACAATGCAGGTCTATTTCATCTTGAATATGGTTGCCCTCTTATTAGTCTTTATAGGCTATAGCATATAGGCCAAGATCCAAGAGTAATATGGTTTAACGGTATTTGACAATTACCTAACCTTGTAATTCCTGTGATTATTATTGATCAAATTCTTTTCATAGCTTGTAGAAGAAAACAAAATTATTTGGTGATTTGGCCTGCACAAGTCTACATGTACATGTATATGTGAAAGA